AAAATTTTTCGGTTATATTTTCATCATCTTTATAAAAGTTGACAAAAACCATGTTCAGTGTATTTCCCTTTGAATTATACATACATACAGTATTTATTTTTAAATACACCTTGGAAAAATCTACCTGGGTATAAGATAGAGCGGAGTATTAACAATTTTTCTTGTTTTTTTTTTTTAATTGTCGTTTGCAGTTATTTTTAAATTCCCTAGCTTGTCTCTTTTCTCTTTCTCATACTCACGCACACATACACATCAAGAAAGGATCTTCATTTGCAGTAACAAACTCACTAGTCTCCCCATTTGAGCAATCAATTAGAACAGATAAGGTTTGAATGGGATTATACACTAGTAAATCATGATTTATGTTTTTCAGAGGGAATGGATCTTGTGTTTTCCATATTTCAAACTTTTTTGGATGAATCAGCTTCTGGCTGGTGTTTTTTTACTTCGGATAATTCAACATATGGTATAATGTTAAGAAAATCGTCTTTTACTGTTTACCGATGGCAAGGGATTTTTATTCCAGTTGAGGTAAACATCACTTATTTTATAGTGCACGAAATAAAATGTACAGATAAGTTTTGGGTGTAACATGAATTACTGTTATTCTTATTTCTCTTTTTCTAGGATTTAAATATAGAAAATCCTGAAACTTGTGAGGCCTTTAATATTGGTCTTTCTCCCTACTTTGTGATTACTCACACAGAAAGAGAAGAAAAGCCTTCTGTTAACAGTGTATATACATTCACATCTGGATTTAAATTATTCCTGGTAAAAAAAATCTTTATTTTTTAATAGATTGTTTAATTTAGATTTGTAAGATTGGTCAAAATGGAAAATAATGAATGCTGTATGTTAATATGAAAAGGGACTTTTTGCAAGTTGATGTATACATTTTAGCAAGGTATTTTAATCCAGAAACATTTTTGTCTTTTGAAATGACACTTAGGTATGCACACCTAGAAATCAGAATTTTGAAGCTTGAACTGCAAATACAAACTCATACTATTAGTATATTCAATGCCTTTCTTAAAGTCTCCTTTAAATCTTTATTCCCACTCTTCTGTCTTCCTCGCAGGTACAAACAATCATTATTTTGGAAAGTTCTCAAGTAAGATATTTTACTTCAGACAGTCAAGATTATTTAATTATTGCAAGTCAAAGAGATGACTCTGAATTAACTCAGGTATGATTCTTTTAAAATCCTTTTAAAAGAAAAAGAACATCCTTTTCTTTTCAATATCATAATTGAAATTTATCAAAGATACAGTCTGTAGCTTTAGAATAAAAGAAAACCATGATTTTATTGTGGTAAATGGTAAAGTATTAAATAGAATGT